ATGAATCTGCACTCCAAGGTCTCTTTGTTCAGCAACGCTCCCCAGGACCTTACCATTAAGTGGGTAAGTCCTGCCCTGATTTGCCTTTCCAAAATGCAGCACCTCACATTTATCTAAATTAATGTATCAGCTACACAAAAGCCTGGTTTGGCCACATCTGGAGTATTGTGTCCAGTTCTGATCACCTCATCACAGGAAAGATGTGGAAGCGTTAGAAAAGGTGCAGAGGAGATTTACCAGGATGTTGCCTGCAATGGAGGGAAGGTCTTACAAGGAAAGGTTGAGAGAGCTGGGGCTTTTCTCTTTAGAACGACGAAGGATGACAGGTGACTTGATAAAGGTGTACAAAATGATCAGAGGTATAGATAGAGTAGACAGCCAGAGACTTTTTCCGAGGGTGGAAGTAGCTTTTACAAGGGGACATAGTTTTAAAGTGAAAGGAGGTAGATATCGGGGAGACGTCAGAGGTAGGTTCTTTACTCTGAGTGTGGTCGGGGCGTGGAATGCATTGCCAGAGAGGGTAGTGGAGTCGGCCTCATTAGGGGCATTTAAGCAGCTATTAGATAGGTGTATGGATGATAGTATAAGGTAGCGGTGGAGGTTAGATAGACCTTAGGTTTAGGATAAAAGTTCGGCACAACATCATGGGCCAAAAGGGCCTGTACTGTGCTGTACTGTTCTAAGTTCTAACCTCCATCTGCCACTCCTCAGCTCATTGGCCCATCTGATCAAGGTCCTGTTGTACTCTGAGGTATTTTCTTCCACTACATCTCCAATTTTGGTGTCATCTGCAAACTTAATAACCATACCTCCTATGTTCACACCCAAATTATTGATATAAAATGACAAAAAGCAGTGGACTCAGCACTGATCCTTGCGGCACACCATTGGTCACAGGCCTCCGATGTGAAAAGCAACCCTTTACCACCATCCTCTGTCTTCTACCTTTGAGCAAGTTCTGTATCCAAATAGCTAGTTCTCCCTTTATTCCATGTGATCTAACCTTGCTAACCTTGCCTTTCCAAATACATGTAAGTCTATTGCTCAGAACTCCCTCCAACAACTTAGCCGCCACTGATGTCAGGCTCACCAGTCTATAGTTCCCTGGCTTTTCCTTACCACCTTTCTTAAATAGAGGCACCACGTTAGCCAACCTCCAGTCTTCCCACACCTCACCTGTGGTTATCCATGAAACAAATATCTCAGCAAGGGGCCTAGCAATCACTTCCCCAGCTTCCCAGAGTTCTAGGGTATACCTGATCAAGTCCCAGGGATTTATCACCTTTATGCATTTTAAGATGTCCAGCGCCGCCTCCTCTGTAATATGGACATTTTTCAAGATGCTGCTGTTTATTTCCCCACGTTCTCTATCTTCCATATCCTTCTCCAAAGGAAACACTAATGCAAAATACTTATTTATCTTCCTCCATCTCCTGTGGTTCCACAGACAGGTGTCCTTGGTGATCTTTAAGGGGATCTACTCTCTCTACTTATCCTTTTATCCTTAATGTATTTGGAGAATCCCTTTGGATTCTCCTTCACCCTATTTGCCAAAGCTATCTCGTCCCCTTTTTGCTCCTCCTGATCTTCTTCTTAAATATACTCCTACTGCCTTTATACTCTTCTAGGGAATCACTCAATTTCTGCTGACTATACCTGACATATGCTTCCTTCTTATTCTTGACCAAAACCTCAATTTCTCTAGTCATCCAGCATTCCCTACATCTATCAGCCTTGCCCTTCACCCTAACCGGAACACGCTGTCTCTAGACTCTCATCTCATTTTTGAAAGCTTCCCATTTTCCAGCCGTCCCTTTACCTGCAAACATCCGCCACCACCCCCCCACCCCCCCAATCAACTTTTGAAAGTTCTTGCCTAATACCGTCAAAAATTGGTCTTCCTCCAGCTTAGAACTTTTAACTTTTAGAGTCAGTCTATCCTTTTCCATCACTATTTCAAAACTAATAGAATTATGGTCACTGGCCCCAACATGCTTTTATATGAACAGATTGAAGAAACTGTATTGTCTTCTTTAGAGAAAGGTGAAAGGAGACCGGAGATTTGACAGAAGTGTTCAAAATCATGACTAATCCAGATGGAGTAGATTAGTGAGAAACTTCCTCTTTTGACAACAGGCCAAGAACCAGAGACTTAAATTGAATAGCAAGGAAGTCAAAGGTGACATTAAAAAAAAACTTTTTTGTATGCAATGAGTGGCTGAATCTTGAATACACTGTCTGGGAGTGTGGAAGAGTGAGATTAAATTGCAGTTTTCAAATGGGAATGAGAAAAATACCTGAAGATTTTAAAAAATTTCAGGGCTACTGGGAAACAGGACTAGCTGAAATACCCACAAACAGCCAACAACAATTTAAAGGGCTGATTGGCCTTTATTCTGCTGTAACAATTCCCTAAATACTGAAGGTGGGGGGGACTGTCTGGTCTATTTCAGTTGTTATTTTCACATTCTGTAAGTGATACAGACAAAACAAAGGAACTTGTTTGCAAGGATATATGTAAGTAACCCAGAGTTTCATTGAAAACTTGGAAAAAGATTGCTCTTAATCTGTCAATTTTGCAAAAGATTCAATGAACTAGTGCTAAAAATACAAGAATAAAATTACTACTTACATCAAAGTTGTGTGCCTCACTGCGGTTTGGGAAAGTCTGGTGAGAGTCGAAAACTCGCAAAGTGGCATGCATGTGATCCTGTGGGGCTTGAAAGGCATTTGTGCTCGCCAAAGCAGATTGCATACTTTCAACTTGGGGCTCACATGATGGACTCTGAACCTTCTGTTTAGTTCCTGAATTAACTGCAAAATTTTCTTTTATCCCCTGGTCTGGCAATGCAGTCTCTAAGTATGCTTGAACATTTACATTTCCAGAATCTTGGACAAGATTTGAAGGCTCCAAAACAGGTATTTCAGAGGTTCTGCTTGAATCAGAAGTTGGTAAACTCTTCTTGCTCTGAGGATTCAGAGATTCTGTGCTGGAAAATGACAGTCCACTTGGCCGGGGAGTAGCAGCACCAATTGACACAAAAGGTTTCCCATGTATTGGTTCATCCTGGACAACTAAGGTCCTACCATTCTCTTTGGTATAGGTGGCATAGCGTAAGCCTGCTTGGGGCTGAGGTACAAAGCGGGATCGATCTGAAGCACTGTCAGCACTCCCCCAGGCTAAATCTGCAATTCTCTTGGAATCATAGCTTCCTTGCTCCAAATCAAGATTCTCACTCTTTGGCAGACTGTGACCATTGCCTCCAGCAGCCAGCAAGCATGCATTGCTGCTGTCAGGATCCATTTCCTCTGCCTCCTTCACTTTTTTTTGCACAGGCTCATTGTCTCCATCAGAGGTGTTCTTTCTTCTACGACTATCTTTACTTTTCTCTACATAAAATAAACAAATTTAATCCATATATGCATACAACCGAATAATGTATCTACTTCAATCAACTCACAAATGTAAACATTTCTAATATGCTCATAACAAACCAGAGTTAATCGTCATTTGCAATCACTCACTAATGAGTCTGATTTATTAGTTATTTAATAGATTTATTAGTATGGAGCATATTTAACCTACAACTAAAATCTTGTATCTGACTCAAATTTCTTTGTCACAAGTTTCTCATAGTTGTGGTTTGCAAAACTAAATTCTTCTACTCCTACTCCATAGCTTTGCATACATGTATTTTAAAAAGTACACAAAAAGGAAATTTGTAAACACAACAAATAGGAGCAGAAGCGGAACACTCAGCTTCTCATTGCTACTCTGCCATTCAATAATATCATGGCTGATCAGTTTGCATTTTGAATTCCTGATTCCCAACTAGCTCCAATAATCCTTGATTCACCTGTCCAACAAGAACCTATCCATCTCTGACCTAAAAATACTCAGTGACCCTATGTGCAATGCATTCTGATGCAGAGAGCTTCAAAGACTGCACAACTCTCAAAAATAGATTCTCATCTCTGGCCAGTAAAAATAATTTTCAAACAATGCCCCTTGTCCAGGGCTCACCCACAAGAGAAAACATTCTTTCCACTCCAACCTTATCAGGAACATTCATGATCTTAGAAACTTCAATTAAGTCACCCCTCACTCCTCTCAGCCTCAATGGAAACAAGCCCAGCCTGTCAAACCGATCCTCATAAAACAACCGACTTATTCTAGCTATCAGTGTGATAAACTCTTCTGAGCCACCACCACACATGTACATACTTTCTTAAATAAGGAGACCAAAACTCCACACTGTATTCAAGATGTAATCCCACCAATTCCTTGTATATCTGAAGCACAACATCCTCACTTTTAGGTTCAATTCCTCTCATATGAAGGGATGGCATCCTATTAGCCTTCTTGATTATGTATTGTACCTGCATGCTAACATTTTGTGATACATGCACAAAGAACCTAAATCTCTCTAACTCAAAATTCTGCAGTCATTCTCCGTTTAAGTAATGATCTGCTTTTTTGTTCTCTCTGCCAAAGTGAACAACTTCATATTATACTCTATCTGCCAGAGTTTTTCCTACTTAATTTATTTATATCCATTTGCAACTTACATGTTCTTCACAAGACATTTTCCTACCTATCTAGATGTCAGTTGTGCATTTAGCAACTATGCCTTTGCTCTCCTCATCTAAGCCACTTATATACATTGTAAAAGGTTGAGCCCCCAGCACAGATCCCGGAGGTACTTCACCTATCACATCTTGCCAACAAGACAAAGGCCCATTTATAAAACTGCCTGTTTTCTGCCAGCCAGCTAAACTTCTATCCATGCTAGTATATTATCCTTTACAACATGGGCTTTTATTTTCTACAACAAGCTTTGATGCAGCACTTTAACAAATGACTTTATCAAATCCAAGAACAGTTTGTGCACAGGCTGCCTTTTATCCACAGGGCAAGCTGCGCCTTCAAGGAAAACCAATTAATTGGTTAAACAGGGTTTCCTTTTGACAAATCCATGCTGACCTTCCCTAATTATTTAAAGCTTTTTTAAGTGCACAAGTTTAATCTTTTCAACGATAACACGTTCCTCGTGACAGATATAAGCTAAACGGTCTACATTTCCTGCCTCCCTGCCTTCTTGAAAAGTGAGGTTATATAAGCTAACCTCCAGCCTGATCTACAGAATAAGGAATTTTGGAAATTAACACCAATGCATCTACCACCTCATCAGTAACTCCTTTAAAGACCAAAGAATGAAGTCCACCTGGACCCAGAGACTTGGTAGTACCTTCTTTGTAATTGTAATTTTGCTAAGTTCCTCTCTCGCTTCCTCCACCTCATTTATAGCTATTACCGGAATGTTTTATGTATCCTCTGTAGTGGTGACAGAGCAAAATATTTGTTTATTTCATTCACCGTATTCTTATTATCAACCATCTATATTCTCACTCTCTGGAGGACCGACACTCACGTTACTTCCTCCATTCCTTTTTAAAGGCCTGTGGAAATGTTTACTATCACCTTTTACAGCTCACTTCCTCTCACATGCTAATTTCTTCCTTCTTCCTTTTGATCAACCTTTTGGTCAATCTCTGCCATTTTTCTGACTAATTATCTGACCTGTCACTCAGCTCTGCACAATTGTTTTTCCCTTAAGTTTGATGCTTTCCCAAACCTTTTTAGTTAATCACAGACAATAGATCCTCTATTTAGAATTTATCTTTAATGTAGTCACATAATTACTGAGTATTCTGAAATGTCTCCTTAAAAGTCTCCCACTGTGTCTTTATTGATCTACCCCTAGCCTGGTATGCCAATTCACTTCGGTGAGCTCAGCTTTCATGCCCACATGGTTGCCCTTATTTAGGTTTAAAATGTGCAGTCTTAGACTCAAACTACTCCTTTCCAAACTGGATTTTAACATTTAATCATTTTTTGTTTGCTGCTGCCTGGGGTGAGATCATTGATCATACCCGTCACATTACAGAATACCAAGACTAATATAAACTGCTGTCTGGTCAGTTCCAAAATATGTTGCACTCAGAAACTATCCTGAAAGCATTCTAATGAACTCGTTATCCAAGCAACTTCTGCCAAACTGATTTTGCCCTTCTATATGTAGATTAAAGTTGCACGTGGTTACTGCCATGCCTTTATCACAACTACCCAATACTTCTCCTTGCATACTTTGTACCACAGTGGTTACTTTCAGGGCAGCTGTAGACCACTCCCACTAGTGACTTCCTTCCTCTACTATTCCTCATCTTCACCCAAACTGATTCTACATCTTTCTCACATCTAGTGCACGAATGTCAAATTTGATTAACAGTGCTACCTCTTACCCTTACCTAATTTCCTATTTTTCATGTCACATGCCCCTCAATATTCAGGACCTAATCCTTATCATCCTGCAGCCATATATCCGTAATGCCAATTAAATCATATTTGTTTACTTCAATGTGCACTATTAGTTAACGCAACATGCATTTAGATACAGAGCCTCTGGTTCTTTTCTTGTTATCTTTCGAAGCCTTGATTGTTGGTGTATTCCCAGAATTTCTTTCCATCTGCCCTATCCAGCTATTCTCTGATCCTATTTTCCCATACAACTATTCTTCTCTCATACTTTATCTCTACTCTTTAAAACACATGGGATGAGGTGAAATTCTCAGAGATCATGGAGTGCTCTAGATCAGGGGCTCTAAAAGCTGGAGTGGATGTCAAGATTTAAGGGATGCATCGCAGACTGACTTCAAAGCTTGATTCACAGACGAAGACTGTTATGATTGGAGCAGTGCAGCAAAAGGATCTTCTTTGATTACATGAACTTTTGAGAATAAACAATCATGGATAGGGCACATTCCAGAATTAACTTATCACTAGCTCCGAAGGCTGACAAAGAAATCAGATCTATTGGTAGATTTTAAAAATCTTTATTCACGCGTGGGATGTGGACACGGGTGGTTGGCCAGCATTTATTGCCCCATCCCTAGACGCCTCGAAAAGGTGGTGGTGAGCTGTCTTCTTGAACCCTTACAGACTATGTGCTGTTAGGTGACCCAGGGAGAGGAGGGAATTCCAGGATTTTGATCCAGCAACAGTGAAGGAAAGGTGATTATATTTGCAAGTCAGGATGGTGTGTGGCTTGGAGGGGAACTTGAAGGAACTGGTGGTCCCATGTATCTGCTGCCCTTCTCCTTCCAGGTGGAAGTGGTCATGGGTTTGGAAGATGCTGTCTGAGGATCTTTGGTGACTTTCTGCAGTAACTCGCGTAGATAGTAGTGGCTTGACACGCCCCAAAGTGGTGTCATGCTGAAGGATGATGGCTCTGCGCAGGTTGGGGTGAAACAGGAGCTAGCCCTAGAAATACAGGCAAAGCCCCACGAAGAGCAAAGGACAGGGATAGCTCATTGAAAGTTAGATAGATGCCATTCTGGGATAGACTGGACATCTTGTTAAGTAAAGAGCATTATCCATGGAAATCTACTAGGCTATGCTGCCACTCCAGACAAGCTCCCCAATTATGTAAAATGACAAATCAAAGAATGCAAACATAGAGGATAATGTAAAGTTTTTGATTGGTTCTCAGAAAAAACAGCCTCCAACTAATAGGAACAACAGAATTCAGCAGGACTACTCCACTAGGCATATCTCAGTGGAAGAAAGCATCACATTAAAATAATGTATGAAAATTCTATCAGAAGGATGGGAAGGCAGGACGTTGCTGGGTACCAGAGTTAAAGGCTGAGTTACTGGGAAATTTGATGAATGCACATCCTGTGTGCAAGTGTACGCACAGACAGGGCACGTACAATGGCTCCAATCTCTCCATCACCTCAAATTGAACTACAAAACACCTCTCAGGTCACAACAAGCCTGGATCTTGATTAATGCTGACTGGTCATAGAAACCATAACATCCATCTTCTGCCCAGTCTGTTTCTCCTGAAATGCTGCTTTTGGTCTTGTATGAATCTCCCCTGGAGGGAGGTCCCAGAGAAACTTTGAGGGGGCTCAGAAGCAATTATTCCTGATTACTACAATGACTACATATAATGATCATGACTTGAAGGGGCAACTTTTACATTCTGATTGAAATGTTAAGGCTGTAGGCTTTCAAACCATGATTCCTAAATCCTAAAGAGAAACCTGAGGTACTCACAAGATTGTCAGTTTTTTGCTTGTTGGCTTCTTGGAACATGTAAGTGCTGCATGGTAATTAAATCAATTTGCCTTTGGGAAGCTGGCCAGTATCTTCCAAAATTTAAAATGGGAACCAGCCAATACTTCTTTGAGGGCCCCCACACAGCTAAGTTTGACAACTATAGCCCAAGGATTATTCATTAGTTGGCAATACAAGCCTGGAACAAATTTCCCCATTTTAACACCATAAATAGTTTCACTGGCTCACAACTACACTGTACTCATTATTTCCAATAAAAGTTTATCTTACCCTTGTCATCAGTTTCTTTAGTTGGACTGTAAGGTGGACTGGTCTCAATTCCCTTCTTACGCCTACTTCTGGAGTTTTGAGATACTTGCTTTTGAGTAACCTGTAGAATTGAAAAGGCTAACCATAAGATTATGTCACTGTCTTTGACCCAATCACAATGATACTCCACACAGTTATGAAAAGGTAAGTTTCGCAAAATAGGTTGCCTTTCTGCAATTCTCCCCATTGCCCCCCAACACAAAGCAAATGAAGCATTCTGTCAGTATGAAACGATCCTGCACTCCAACACAGAACATATCTAACACAGCTAAATAATGTAGAATTTGGTTTTTAATGAGGATCAAACCAAAACCCAATGTTTTTACTGGAATTGGCCTTCTACTTTGAATAATCAATTGTGACAAACTTATTTCCAGTTTATGACATCAATAACATCAGAGAATCAGAGCTATTACTTTAGAGAAAAACACTTAATGGCTTAAAAGTATGCACCATCACAGAGCACCAACACATAGCAAGAAGATAGTACAGTTTAACTCCCATCCTACTTGAGCAAATCTTAAAGCATTACATTGAGCAAAGGTCCCACCGCTGCCATTTGTGCCGGTGTTTACACGGCGACATGGTGGCTCAGCGGTTAGCGCTGCTGCCTCACAGCGCCAGAAACCCGGGTTTGATTCCACCCTTGGGTGACTGTGTGTAGAGTTTGCACATTCTCATGTCTGCGTGGGTTCCTCTGGGTGCTCCGGTTTCCTCCCACAGTCCAAAGATGTGCAAGTTAGGTGGATTGGCCATGCTAAATTACCGCAGTGTTCAGGGATGAGCAGATGAAGTGGGTTATAGGGGGATAGGTCTGGGTGGGATGCTCTGAGGGTCGGTGTGGACTTGTTGGGCCAAAGGACCTGTTTCCACACTGTAGAGGTTCTGTGATCTATGATCCAATAAAGGCCCAACATAAGGGGAAGGAAGCTTCAGTATTCCATCATTACAGATCAAAGAAGTAGCAGAAGTATTGCAAAGGCCACCGCCTGACATACGGTGAAGAAAATAGTACACAATATTGATTGGATAATCTTTCAAAAATTGCAGTAAGAACTTATAACACTCACCATTGCTGCATTACTCTCATTTGCTTCTACGCTCTGAGACAAAATTCCAACTTCTCCTTTCAGTAACTGAAGCGCCTCATCCAGAAGGGTGATATAAATCCGCACAGGGTCAACAGTCTTTGTCTGGTGGTCCTATTGGGAAAGGCAAATCAGCAACAGAAGCATAAGAACATGTCCTTAAATATGCTAAGTTATTTCTTGCACCAGGACCAACAAAGATTTGCGTCAGACCTCCAAACCAGGTGTCCCACATAACACGTGAATTGCAGTTTCAAGTATTGGATCTGGGACAAAGTGTCTACTTTCTTTTGTGCTTCTCTGTACAGTTCAACTTTTCTTGGTAAATGCCAAATACAAATAAGGATCTACGCAGAAGATATAGGAAGGTCAAACACCAACCATTTTCTCATCGGCTACTATCCAGTAGTTTCTGCAACACTTGCCATGATAAGATCGAGTGCCTTTCTGGATGGATTAGCCAAAACACCCTCCCTCAAAATGTGATCCTTCATTAGTACTAGTAGCTCTCTCCATTCCTCAGCTGTGTCATACAATTGAGCCGAGAAGTTGGTTAGGATTTAACTTGCCTCGTTAAAAGCCTCATGACCAACAGAACAACTATGGTGCCTTACATATACCAATATTATTGCAGCAAGGTTCTCTTACTTCTAAGAATGCAGTGTACTCCATGGTTCAATTTTACCAGTGATTCATATTTTGCAGCAGGCCTCTCCTTACCATGTTTTTGCCTTCAAAATCCAACGTCAATATGAAATGCTAGGTAAGGTGAATGTGGACAAGGACTGACTTCCCTAGTGTCAACATGAAGAATGTTACTCACCCTTACAGTGTAAACATGAAATATCCACAAGATCCAACCAAGGACAAAGGCTGAATTTATCCAGCCAAAGGAAAATTAATCAAGCCCTAGACAACCCTGAAATGCAAATTTGTACCTTCTGAGTGGAACAAGTGAAAACAGGAAGGCACATTATAACATGTATTTAAAACAGTGCCATATTGTACCTGTTCTGTGGTAACTACCATGGTGCGTGAAGCAGGGTCATGATGTGCAACAACGGCAAGAATCCATTCTTCAGGACAGTCTGGTTGATAGATCTTCACTCTGTGCCCCTGCAAACTGTATGGGCCTAAAAGACGTAGTGCAACAGCAAAACAAAAGTGATCAATTTTAAGAAGATACGATCATTTAGTCAGCATTTCAACTCATAGTCCACTGAAAAGCAATCAATGTCCTTCTTAACATTCAACTGCTGCACATGGTAAGCGTTCTCAATAAGGAATTCCTTTAGCATTTTATATTGCCACACCTGTGAAGCTTACTAGGAACACTTAAAACACGGTGGCGAATCTCACTTTGGCAGTGCAACTCTTTTCAAGGAAATGGACTCTACTATCAAATGATGAGGATTTTTCTGTACGAATGCTAAAGCAGAATTGGCACCTCTGGTGACTGGGAAACACACATCCATTCTCCTTTCCCACAGAATCAAAAGTTGTAAGATACTGCAGAAGCGCAGAGGTCTCTGATGAACTCTTCTAACTATAACTCAAACTCCATGTCTCGGAAGTGACTTTTTTAAAAATAAAAATCATTTTATTGAGTTTTTTAATCCTTCTGTTCAAAGTAACTTGAACTGCTTTCTACGTTCAAAGTGCTGTTTAATACAAGTTGTTGCATGCAACAGACTTAACTGATTAACAAGACATTCATTAAAAATAATGGGGTGTGAGAGGGGAATGGAAGTTTGGCATTTGACATTCGACCATGAATAATGAATGCAAGCTAAAAACCACTGGCTTCCAGAGGGGGAAAAGAATTCAGATGACCTACACAGTGCTCAATGCTTCAGGAGTAACCGTCAAGTACCATCTGTGATTTATTTTTATAATCCATCTGGTTTCAAACTAATGTATTTTATCCAGTCAAGTTTCCCTCTGCAAGCTTATTTTTATATCTTAATATCTGAGTTAATTTGTTTTCCTAACCTCAATCAGCCTTCATCTGGCGCTAGCATGCATTTGAAAGTTTCCCCACGCTCTGATGACTCCCTTAGCTGTTACTTGATCTGTTTTACTTATGCACAAAAAAAGAATGTCGAACACAAGCAACCAATGCAAACAGTACGAGTAATTGCAAAATTAATCTTCTTTTAAGGTCAAAACATCCAATTAACTCTAGCTTTAGGAAAACTGTTGCCAACCTCAATTGTAATTATTTGAAATCAAGATATAGAATTTGGTAGCAGCCCGAAGCAATAATTGCAAGGAAGCTACATTTGTGGTTTGGAGAAATGGAGATATAGAGACAATTCGGAAATCAAAACAACAGTGACTGACTTTAAATTTGTCAACTATGTCAGATCAGATTCAGTAGGCAAATACCAGTCACCATTAAGTCACACTTTCCCAGATTTTACTTTTTATGAATGTAATGCAGTGGAACAAATACCAAATGACAATGCAATACAGAGGCAGGAAATGTTGACAGGCCTAACGCGTGTACAGAAATAGCTTTCAAAGGTCCATTACTTCACAGCAGCTAACTGAAACAGAAGACCCTAAGATGTAGCAGTGGAAATAGGGCAGTCAGCCTAATGAGTCTGCACTGCCATTCAATGAGATCATGGCTGATCTGCTAATCTTGAACTCCACTTTTCTGCCTACTCCTCAAAAGCCTGGATTCCCTTATTGATTAAAATGGTTTATCTCAGCCTTGAATATAGTGATTGACCAAGTCACAACAGCCTTCAGTGCTAATGAATATCACAGATTTCTAACCCTGAGGGAAGAAATTCCTCATCTCTGTTTTAAATATTTTGAGATTATGCCTTCTGGTCCTAGGCTCTCCCACAAGGGAAAACAACCTTTCTGGATCTATCCTGTCAAGGCCATCAAGAAGCTTGCAACTTTCAATAAGGTTGTGTCTCAGTCTTCTAACTTCCAACACACACAGGCCCAATCTACTCAACTTCTCCTCATAAGACAGTCCCTCTACATATGCTATCAGCCAGGTGAACCTTCTCTGGATGCCTACAATGCCAGCATATCTTCCCTTCGATAAGGGGCCCAAAACTAATCACAGTATTCCAAATGTGGTCTGACTAATGCCCTGTACAGTTTTAGCAAGACCTCTCAACCCAGCAAGAAGGTATCACCTCTGGAAGGGAAGGGATTAGCAATCTTTTCTAAGGACATGAAAACATTAACTAGAATGATCTTCAGTTGAGGGCATTAGTTGGAAAGCTTTTGGTCACCAAATTCAAAACAACTCTAGGGCTTGAATACTTTGTGTGCGGTTAAGTCATTTGAAAAAGTTTTTTTTTTTTAAGTTATGAGATTAATTTTCTCCTCCGCTGGTACACACAACAATGAATTACCATTTTAGCAAAAACTCCCTATCTCTACATTCCATTCCCTTTGAAATAGAAGCCAACACATCATTTGTCTTCCTTGTTACCCACTGATTTTGGATGCAAGCTTTCTGTGATTCATACACAAGGAATCCCAAGCCCTCCTGCTCATTATAGCTTTCTAGTCTTTCTCCATTTAAATAACATTCAGCTCCTCTATTCTTCCTGCCAAAGTGCAAAACCTCACATTTACACACGTGATGTTCCATCTGCCCACTCGCCTAACCTGTCCATATCTCTCTGCAGACCCTTTGTGTCATCCTCGCCACTTGCCTTCCCACCTATTTTTGTGTCATCCACAATCTTGGCTGTTGTACATTCACTTTCCTTATTCAAGTCATTTAAATACATAGTAAAGAATTGTGCCCTAAGGGATGTGTAGGCTAGGTGAGTTAGCTATGGTAAATGTGGGGTTACGGGGATGGGGTGGGGGCTGGATCTGGATGGGAAGCTCTTTGGAGGGTCAGTGTGGACACAATGGGCCAAATGGTCTCTTCCCACACAGTAGGAATTCTATGTTTACATGTACTACTTCCCCTTCATCTCTTTTGCTTGTTAACTTGGAAAAGCATTCCAATAATTTGTCTGGCATGATTTCTTGTTCACGATGTTGACTCTGCTTGATGATATTAATTAAGCATTTCCAAATTTCATCTTTTACAACAGACTCTAACATTTTCCCAATCACAGACATTAAGATAACTGGCCTATAATTATCTATATATGGTCTCATTTCCCTTCCAATAAAGGTGTTATATTGGCAGCCTTCCAATCCTCTGGGACTTTTCCAGAAGCTAGGAATTCATGGAAGATTGCTACCAGCGCATCCGCCATCTCTGTAACTCATTCCTTTAATATCCTAGGATGGATCTAATCAGGTTCAGAGGACTTATCAGTCTTTAGCCCCATTAATTTCCCGAGGACTTTTCTCTATGATAGTTATTGTGTTTATTTCCTGTCCTTTTGCCCGTTAAATATCCAGAAATTTCAGATATTGTCAGTGGCTTCTGCTGCAAACTTATGTAAAGGATTCAACTCCTCTCCTATTTCCTGGTTCCTCAATATTATTAGCCAGCCGCCTTTTCGAAGGGACACATGCTCACTTTGGCTTCTTGCTTCCTTTTTAAATATTTAAAGATATTTAGACTTTTTTTATTGGAATAATATTGAAATTGTCAGTCTGAGAAATTGACAGCAACTTCTGGCGTTTGCAAATCTGCAATTAAACATGGAAATCCAGATGTGCTGTGAGCAATTCTCTGTTCTTCTATACAATGTGAACTTCTCATTTGGAAATCAATGAGAAATCTGAACTCATATAAACATACAGATCTTACATTATTACTTGCGCTACAAAATCCTTGGAGATTGTTGGCTTTGTTGATTTAAAGCAAATCCAAAAATCCCTGGTATATGGAATGAAAAGGAAGAATACAGAGCCTAATAACTTTTGAGCAACACAACTGCCTTTTATTAATCTGAGTGTGGGGGAAATTGTGTTTATTTAATGATAGTTTTTTAATAAGACGTTTGATGCTAATTTTCCTATCTCTCAATTTAAAACAAAACAAAATTACATTTGAATTTTAGTTGGCAAGTAATGGAAATTGGAAAAAAAAAATTCAGGTTACTCCACAATCAGCAATGGTTTATAAAATTTAGCAGCCCATGCTTAGTTGCAAAGAATTAATCAGAAATTTATTGATCTCCATTTTAATTTTATAATGTATACAACATTCATTCAATCTCAATTGGAATATTACATCCTGTTCCAGGCACCACATCTTCCAAAAGATGTGAAAGGTATTCGAGAGTGCAGAAAAGGTTCGCAAGAATGTGACGAGGAACTTCAACTCTGTAAACAGATTGGAGAAAGTGGGACTATGCTCCTGTGAGAAGAGGGGTATAAGATGAGATTTAATAGGGGAATTCAAAATCAAAATGGAGAACCTGGATAAAGTAGACAGGACACAGAATTATGGCAATTGGCAAAAGGAGCAATGCTGACATAAGTAGGAACTTCAGTGATTGGGATCTTGAAAGCATGGCCCCAAAGAGTGATGGAGGTAGGATCTATCGAGGCATGCAAGGCAGCATTAGATTATTATCTGAAAAGGAAGAATATGCAGTTTATATAGGGGGCGGTGGGAAGTGACACTAAGTAAAACTGCTTCTTTGCAGAGCCAGAATGACCGAGTGAATAGTCTCTTTCTGTACTAAAATGATCTCCTGATTCATGAATTTAATATCCAACAATCTTGTTTTTGTCTACAATACCTCTGAGTATCTCTTGAATTTTCTTTTCTCTGATCCAAGATTTCAATGATTCTTGAAGTTTTTGATTATCCTGGACAATGGGATTCTGGCTGTCAGAATCCTCCTTGAGAGACATAAGAAGATGACAAGTGAGGAAAAATGAATGGCAGAAGACTAAATAATACTTTTCAACGATTAACAGCAAGAATTTCACTATTCTACCAATCTTGCTTTGGTTCACAATGTCACGTGGACAGGATTAGACCGTAACTGAGGTTTTTAAAGACACCATACAATTCAGAAGGAGGGTCACAGGGCCTGAAACGTTAACTCTGCTTTCTCTCCACAGATGATGCGAGACCTGCTGAGTTTTTCCAGCAATTTCTGTTATTGATACACTTCAGAGCAGTGTTGCTGTTCATTTACGCATGTAGAATATGACCGTGACTAAAACAATACGTTGTGCATAACTTTAACACTTCCTGATTTTTCTGCTACATTCCTTCAACCAGTGGTCACATGATTTGTACGATTGGGCTGAATTTTATTGGACAGAATGAAAGTTTGAGAAAATGCTGCAGGAAGGTGTCTTCCCAACATTTTCCTGCCACCATACTACTTTGCCAGCTATAGAAAAGATGGCAGATGACCAGTTCACTTGGAGACAGGTTGAGCCACTTAAGTGGCTAACTGGGGGTCTCATCTCACCTCCAATTGTTTTCTACTCTGGCTACTAACCTCCCTCTGGGTGAAAAACTGGCAGGTACATCTTACTGGTCTCCCAGTGTGTTATGAAATTCTGGATGGAACTTTGGGCACTGTTTGGGCCCAGAAAGGGACAATTAGATGCATCAATGCTTCCTGCCCTCAGCAAAAACCCTTTACTCTTGCTTTCCTGACCAGTCCTCATACCCACAAATTTCACTTACTTAGTTTTCCGGCTGCAAGTTCATCAGTGTCTGCCTATCGTCAAACCGCTGCATAGCTGCAGTCACCACTCCCAATAATGGTGCTAAGCTACCAAACCTCTGATTAGGCCAAAAACAGCTGCAGACAGACAGGCCAGTACTACAACTTAAGTGGCCAAAAGTCAGGCAAAGAGGTTCAGGCAGAATAAAAATCAAACTCCTGAGGACTGGAGTGAAAAATTTGAAGTGACAAAAACATTATGCAAATAGCTACGATGACATAAAAAGTACAGGAGATCATTCAGCCCACTGTGTCTGCGCTTGTTCTTGGAAATAGCTGTCCAATTAGTACTGGACTCTTTTCCTGTGGTTCTATGAATTTCTTTTCTTTCGACCATTTATTCAACCGTCTTTTGAAAGTTATTGGCAAACATGCTTTCACCAACCTTCTAGGCAGTGACACTCCAGATAATAATCCACTTGTAAAATATTTCCCCACACATCATATCTGGCCCTTTTTGCAATTACCTTTAATCTGTATTCACCAGTTACTGAGAATTCTGCCACTAGAAACTGATCTCTCAATGAGATCCATTCATAACTTTCAACACATGTTTCAAATCTCCCATTAATCTTCTTTGCTCCAGGAGAACAATTCCGGCTTCTCAATGTCTGGTTCCATTCAAAAAATTACTCTGCGCTCTCTCCAAGGAATCGAAATCTTTAACACATGGTGTTCAGAATTGGCCACAATATTCCAGACGGGGTCCAACCATTGTTTTGTAAAGAATTAGAAGAACATCCTTCCTTTTGAATTCTACATCTTAAGTTAGAAGTCAAAGCTCCATGTGCCTTCTAAACATCCTTCTCAACTTGCCCTGCTGTACTCAAAGATTTGGGTATGTTTCCAAGTCTGTGTCTGCCCTTCCTTGAAAATTATACCCTTTAGCATGTATTACCACAACACCAATGGAAAAGGAGAGTAAATAAGTGAGATTCAAACACAACTCTTCATTAGTTATAAACTCTACATCGTTAAATCTGCTTATTGAAAGGCACAATTAAAATCTGCAGCAGGTCTCCATCTGATCAAAGCCAAGTTCAAATCTCCAAAGACTCTTCCTAGTCTCATGACTGGAATTCCTGAATATCAAACTGTTAATAATAGGATCATTTTCAGAGACTTCCCTAATCCTTTTCCACTCTGCCCACTTCTTGACTGTCAGTCTCTTCCATTCCAAGCTCAACACAAACTGCAGAATGATTTCTCTTCAGCGTTCTGAAATCTTATGGCCTAAACACTGATTTCAGATTTGGGCTATACCTACTATTCTCTTCAAGCAGCTGATGTCGGTGATCTCTGACAGCAATGGAAAGGAGGGGAGGTCATGGGTAAACACTCATTGTGTCGACAGTCGTGGAGTTATCCGCGCAGTTGTTGTCTGTTTGGAACCAATAGCTAAATTCTGTGCTTCCAAGACTTTCTGTTCTGCTGTTATGCCCAGTTTGCAAGTTGTGTTTACAATGTGTCTCCTTACTTGCTTTTACCTTTTAAGTTTGGCTCTCATGCCTTTAGTTTTTGGAGGCACAACGGCTCAGTGGTTAGCACTGCTCCCTTGGGTGACTGTGTAGAGTTTGCACATTCTCCCCATGTCTGCATGGATTTCCTTCAGGTGCTCCGGTTTCCTCCCACAGTCTAAAGATGTGCTGGTCAGGTAGATTGCCCATGGCAAATTACCCTGTGTCCAGGGACGTGCAGGCTAGATGGATTGGTCATGGTAAATGCAGGGTGACAGGGATAAGGTGAGAGCATGGTTCTGTGTAATATGTTCTTTGGAGAGTCAGCGCAGACTCAATGGGCTGAATAGCCCCTTTCTACACTGTAGCATTCTATGATTCTTTTCAGATATACTTTGATCTTCTAAGATTTTCATTTCTTCGAGACTCCTTTCTTTCCCCGACAGATGACCCTCTACGCCACTTCATGACTAATAAATTCACACTGGCCCCAGTATAATCTGTTCTTTCCTTTCCCTCCCCCACTCCAAAAGCATGAAAAAGCTTTTAGTTTTCATATTCTGTTCTAAAGGACATGCGTAAAACAATGAATGCCACTTTACTCTTCACAAACACTGACTGACTTGCTGTGTTTCAATTATTCCATCCTTCATGAGGAATTGAACGGCATTTGTACAAGGAAGGTTTGAAACATATTAACTGCCTGACATTGTTTTCAATGCTAAGATTTGTGCTTACAAGTAATGCTGAAAAGAAAAGCGAACACAAATGCACTCCTACGTCTAAAAAGAAGTGGAACCATGTTTGACTTCATAAAATATTTAGTTACACTGACAGTAATTTTTGCAGTCCTAGTGGATTTCCAGCAAACGTAAGGCAAAAACATTCTACACAACCTTCATTGATGGTTCAAACAAAGGGAAAGCTTTGTACTCCTCCAATCCCAAGAATTCAGACACTTTTATCTGATTAGCAACATCATAATGTGCAACATGCAAATGTGGAAAGTCAAGCATCTCTCCCTTCCTCTATTTAGTGAAAACAGGATAAACTGAAATAAAAAATTCACTGTATTGAACATGGAAAGATAAAAGTTAGTCTTATAATACTGTAATTTTAATTAATCACTGAGAACTCTCAAAATAAGGAATAAATACTTGTGTCAATCACGTTGAACTAAATTTTCAGATTAGTGTTTTAACATACAAACTCTTGTATTTCCCAAGCTGGTTACACAAGCAAACAGGAGCTCAAAATTGACACACCTATTCAGATCTATAGCACGATCGTCATGAGCACAGGTTAAAAAGGAACCAACAAAACCGATATTCGTTGATGGTTTTTGCTCAGTGTTAAAGTCAATGCCTACTAAATTCATTTTCTGTAAATATAGGAAATAAGTTTAAATTCAAAAACTACCCATCTCAGGCACTGGATAGTTGACAGAGAATTAATTTGACAAAAAAACTATTCAGAGCTATGGACCTTCTTACAAAATTAGTGAAACTTAAATTCTTAAACTTTTGTGAATCAGAGACTAAGCATTAATTTAATGTTACAATGACACTATAGAATTGGACTGAATCCGAAGTGAACCCAGCTACTTCCTGTTAAAAATATCTACATGCAGCAAAAATACTAAAAGAAATAAAAGGAAATTACTTTAAATAGTCGAAGTGCAGCACCATCAGCAGTAAAGTTCGTTATCCTGTCACCAAAGAACTCAACTGGAACGATGGAGCCCAACCCAATTTTATCTACCAGTGTTTTATAGGTCTGAAAATAGAAAATAGAAATCAATTAATATCACATCTCATAAAGGGCATGAAAGACAGTATAGAGTGAGCCAAAAGATGAACAAAGACATGTAATGAGTGTGGTCTTGCAGAAATAAACGTACATATTAGTCACTCAGGAGGGAACAAACTGACTCGTCATTTTTTAAAATAGTAATCACGGTAAAACCATTGGCCATTGCAATTAAAATCAAGACAAAGTAATGAAAACACATATTCCCAGATACACATGATACTGGTTTATCAAGCTTCTTGACTTGTTGGCTACTGGAAACATACATAAAATTAGCATGCACAGTTACTCTGTTTCACATCCTTGGAACTAAGGTGACAATAAAAATCATGCTAAATAGACAAATATTCATAAGCTGGGATTCATTCTCCGTAAAAAAAAAGTTCAAGCCTTGTGCTCTTTTTTTGAATTACCCTGACAGCTCCCCTTTGTTTTCTATATGGCAACATTTTGGACAGAGTTGACTTGCCAACCAATCAGTACCTTAATCGTGTATCATAAATTGCTTGTTTGAAACTTGGCAAACTTGAGTTTGTCCTAATGAGTGCAAGATGAAAAGCTTTGGCCACATGTCTGTCTTTCCATCAATAAAGAAAAATTGTGCTGAACAGAATGATCCCGTGTATGAAAGCAAAACCAGAGAAGGTGGTACAATTTGCTTAGAGGACCACAATAATACTACCAATTATCATTCTGGTGAAGCTAGATACATGAGGGCCTGTTAGAAAGGAAGCACATGAATCATAGGGGGCTTTAATCTTCATGTAGACTGGGATAGTCAGATTGGCAGAATTAACCATGAGGAATAATTCATCCGCTGTATTCGGGACAGCTTCCAAAAACAAGCCAAAGAACTGTGGATGCTAGAAATCAGAAACAAAAACACAAATTGCTGGAACAACTCAGCAGGTCTGGCAGCAGTGAAGACAGTTTTGAAGGGTCACCGGACCTGAAATGGTAACTCTGCTTTCTCTCCACAAATGCTGCCAGACCTGCTGAGTTGTTCCAGCAATTTCTGATGATGTGGATCCAAGCAGGAATCAGGCTATACTGGATCTTGTGATGCGCAGTGAGGCAGGTTTAATATATGATTCAGGGTAAAAGAACCCCGAGGAAACAGTGAACATGACATGGTAAAATTTAGCTCAGTTTGAGAGGGAGGAACCTGTGTCAGAAACAACTATACTCAGGTTAAATACGGCAGTGGCAACTGCAAAGGATGGGGAGCAGAGTTGGCTGCAGTGGACTGGGAAAGGAGTTCAGCAGCAAAGAGGGTTGAGGAACAATGGCAAATGCTTAACAAAATAGTTCATGGCTTACAACAAAGATTTATTCCAATGAAGGGGATAAGCCAATAACGAACAACCAGGGAGGTCGAGAATAGCATAAAATTGAAAGAAAAAGCTTACAATTTGGCAAAGATTAGTTGTATGCCAGAGGATTGGGAAAGTTTTAAAAGCCAACAAAACGGTAAGCTTTCAAGTAATATCAAGACGAACAGCAAGAGCTTCTTTAAGTATGTAAAAAGGAGGAGCAAAACTAATTTGAATACGGGCCCCTTGAACAGAGGCTGGGGAAATAATAATGGTAAACCAGAAAATGGCAAAGGAGTTGAACAAATACTTTGCATTCGTCTTCACATGAGAGGACACTAATAGCATTCCAAAATTACTACATATTCAAGAGGATAAAGGAGGTTTAAATCCAATGTAACAAGAGAAAAAGTGCTAGACAAAGTAATGAGGCTAAAGACTGTCAAGTCCCCTGGACTTAATAGGGTTCATCCTTGGATGTAATTGGAAGTAGCTACAGAGACAGTGGATACATCGATAGTAATTTTTCAACAATTCTTAGATTCTGAAAAAGTCCCAGAGGCTTGGAAAATGGCCAATGTAACACCTTTATTTAAAAGTGGACAGCGACAAAAAATAACAATAGGCAAGTTAGCTCAATGCCTGTTATTATAAAGGATGTAATGGCAGAGCATTTAGAAATGCATAATTAATGTCATCAAGCAGAGTTAACACGGCTTCATGAAGGGGAAATCATGCTTGACGAATTTACTAGAATTCTTTTAGTAGTCATCAAGCAAGACAGATAAAGGGGAAGCCGTAGGTGTGATATATTTGGATTTTCAAAAGGCATTTGATAAAGTCAAACACATTAGGCTCCTTACTAAGACACAAGCCCATGGTGTTAAAGGTAGTGTACTATCATGGATAAAGAGCTGTCTCATCAAAGACAGTTGTTGATAAAGGGCCATTTTCAAGTTGGGAACCTGTAACTCATGGCGGGCCACACGGACCAGCTGCTGGGTCCACAATTATTTACAAAGTAGATTAATGACTTGGATGAGGAACAGTCAAGATTGCAGATGACACAAAAATGAGGGGGAAAGCAAGTGGTGAAGATGACACATAGGGTCTGCAGAAGGATGTAGTCAGGTTAAGTGAGTGGGCAAAAACGTGGCAGATGGTATATAATGTAGGGAAATGTGAGTTTATGCACTTGGGCAAGAATAGAGGAGCTGAATATTATTTAAATGGAGAAAGACATCAGAAAGCTTTTGAACAGAAGCATCAGGGAGCCCCTGTGCATGAACCACGGTTCAGCAGGTAACAGGAAAGCCAAATGGGATGTTGGCCTATATCTCAAAGGGAATGAAATATAAAAGCTGGGACGTTTAGCTAAAACTACACAAGGCATTAGTCAGACTACAGCTGGAACACTGTAAAGAGCTTTGGGCTCATTATGAGTAAAGATATACTGACATTGGAGACAGTCAGAAGTTTCACGCGGCTAATTATGGTTATGGAGGCACTATCTTATGAGGAGAGGTTGAGGATGTTGGGTCTATACTTATTGGAATTTAGAACAATGAGGGGCGATTGATTGAAATACACAGGATTCTTAAGAAGCTTGACAGATTAGATGTAGAGAGGTTGCTTTCCCTTGAGGGAGATTCTAGGACCAGAAGGCACAATCTCAGAAAAAGGCATCACACACTTAAGACAAAGATGAAGAGGCATTTCTTCAGACAGCAGTGAATCTGTCGAAGTCTTTACCACAGATGGCTGTCGAGGTTGGGTCGCTAAGTACATTCAAGACTGAGATTGACAGTTTTTAATCAGTAAGAGAATCAAGGGTTATAGGGAAAAGGTAAGAAGGTGGAATTGAGGGTTATCAGATCAGCCATAATGTAATTAAAATGGTAGAGCATTCTAAATGACCTACTTTTGCTCTTACATCTTGTGGTTTTATAGAATATTATTTATAATCCATGCAAACCACAGCAGGGAATAGGGTTTTTACATTATCCATTTGTTTCATACATATTAAAATTGTGAAACAGATTTGCAAATTTCTGAAGCCGATTGAAAATGAATTATAATTTCAACGCAAAAATTTGCAAATCGCTGACATGAAGTTCCACCTCATGATGTGATTGCCGCGGAGGTATATCACAACACATACAAATAGGCTGATTAAAAAAAATGAAACATCACTTAATGCAAACAAATCAGGTCTTGCTCGGAGTGAATTGATTCAATTCAACCCTCCCCAATGGAAGACATAATCCCACTTATGTTCCAATGATTTGGATAAAAACTGCACTCATTGGAACAGATCAAATTGGTTAAAAAGTGCAGTGAATACCTAATACAGCCACTTTAGTCTGAATTGCAGAAGAGACGAGATTTTTCTTACCAATGCAGGCCATTGGCTAGCATTAACCCTTCCTCCCTGTAACAGTATTGAATCTTTCCTGGGGGCCCACACCAGAGTATGCTCCACAAGGAAAACAAGGACATCTTCAGCATAAACCTTCACCCAAGCTTGCTTTTTCCAACGTGAATCATCAAATTCAATGTACACCTGCAACACAAAGCAATTCAGAAAGATGTCACAATTCAAATATAATTTCAACCACTTTATATTTAGATTTGTCAAGAGAGGACCAGCAATTAAGTGAACACAGAATGGAAAAATATGTTCCCTTTCAAAGGATACATGTCAAACAGTTAATTACAGTTAAAAACACAGGGGTGTGGAGTCAACTAAGTATTGAAAACTGAAGATTGTTGAAAGCAAAAATAGAAGAAATATATATTAGTCAGCAAAGACAAGTTAACATTTCGGTACGACGCTTTATCAGAATGGATAGAATAAAAGTTCGGGTGTTAGGTCATGGATCTAAAACATTACAGTTTATGTCTCCACAGACGAAGCCTGACCTGCTGAATATTCGACATTATTTTTATTTCAGATATGCAGTATTTTTCTTTTGTAAAACATAGATAAGCATTTTAAGTAAGATTGACAAAAAAAGAGGAATCTTTTGAAGTTCCTCAATTGCAGTCTTCCCTTTTATTTTGCCAATGGTTTGAATGATTTGATCTTCTAACTCATCAGTCTAATATGAATTGAAATTAATTTTCAGTTGTCTTAATATGAAAAACATGCCAAGAAGACACACAAAGATATCAAGAGATATTTGCCCTTACTTCATGGATGGATGTATGAATAACTGCAACAACAGCATATTTAGAATGTTAAACTGGCATTCACAAAGGGAGGATAGCAATAAGGTTCCAAGGGGTCAACCAAAAATAAGATTCTAGTTGTCATGGCCCACCACCTAAAATCGCTCAAATGCTGACTAGTAGCAATGTCCCATTCCGTTAACCCTTTCTTTGCAACAATGAGGCGCAGGCCATGGCCCATTAAAAAGCAATATACATGGCAGCTTGTGCTGCCCCATGTCTCGCTCACTTCTCGTGAGATCTCTGGACCAGAAACATGCACCGTCTATCCCAGCCCACATGTCAATTCAGACACAGATATGCTGCCAAGTGGTGACGTCAACCCAGAAATTGAGTGTAGCTAACAGCTGGACACACAATAACTGTCAGAGCCTGAAGCATGCAACAAGAGGCAACGAAGAGTTTGTATTAATTTATGTGGATAATGGTACTGGCTGGATTTAATCCAGTTCCTGGAAATTAAGACCAATGAAAAGAGGAATCACTGTCAGACTGAAGTCAAGCTTCGCATTGCGTGCCTTTGCATCACTTGCCGTTCGTGTCATAATTAAGATTATATTTTGATTTAGACACTATCAGGAAGCTCACCATAAGATCAAAAGAAAGAGTAACACCAGTTGTCAATATCAGCCATTCAGCCAGCTTCTCAGTATGGCCATGGTTGATCTGATTGTGGCCTTCTGATTTCTGACTGCCCCCATAATTCCCTCGATCAAAGATGTCACTCAGATTTGAATGTCTTCAATTACCAAGTCTCCAATGTCCTCGGGGAAGTGCAATGAAAATGTTCACAACCTTCAGACCAAAATTTACCCTTATCTCCATCTTAAATAGGAAACTTTATTATTTTAACTGTGCATCACCAACCCCCAACAGTCTGAGATTGAGATTCCCCCATGAGGGGGAATTCTGTCAGACATCAATCCTGTCAAGCCCCCTCAGAATCTCTTATGTTTCATTTTTTATGCTCCTTTTATACACCAATGATTATAAGCCCAAACTTTTCTTACTATTACAACCCCTTCAAGCCAGGATTGAGTCTAGTAAACCCTTGTTGAACTGCCTCCAGTGCAAGTCAGCATAGGTGAGTCCAAAGCTTGAGGGCATAGGTTTAAGGTGAGAGGGGCAAGATTTAAAAGGGAACCTAATGGGCAACTTTTTCGCACAGAGGGTGGCGTGTGTATGGAATGAACTACCAGAGGAAACGGTGGAGGCTTGTACAAATACAACATTTAAAAGGCCTCTGAATTGGTATATGAATAGGTAAGGATTAGAGAGACATGAGCCAAATGCTGGTAAATGGGACTAGATTAATTTAGGATATCTGGTCGGCGCAGACAAATTGGACCAAAGGGTCTGCTTCCATGCCGTATATCTCTATGATTCTATATCCCTGCATAAGTAGGGAGAGATCACCATGACCTGTATAGTTGTAGCAAGACTTCAATACCCTTTCCCCTTGCGATAAAGTACATCATTATGTTTACAACCTAACGAGTGATTTGTGCACATGGAAAACCCAGACCCACCTGTACAGTAGCATTCTGCAATCTCACTCCTCCTGAATAATATTTTCTATTGTTCTTGTAAAAGTGGACAACCTCACATTTTTTCCACATAGCGGCCAAATTTCCCCACTCGCTAATCCTATTTATATCCCTTTAGAGTCTATCCCTTCACAACTCAATCTCAGCTCCACCTTGTGGCAGAGGTTCGTCAGTGCTGGTAGTTACATTACCTGAGAATACACGACATTGCTGCACACATATGTCACAACACTTGAACCTGTAAATGACCTTTTCCCAAATGAGAAATGATCCCAAGCAACCTGACTCTGACTTAAACATTGATTCTTAAGAGAACCCATGATTCATTTGAAGTTATTTTACTTGATGCCACAATTTTCACAAACACAGTTACAATTTTAAGTGAGGGTCGTGCAGAGATCCCTGTGGCAATCCAATTGTTAATCAACCAGAAAATGATTCATTGTTCCTGGCTGCTTGTTGTTGGTTAGCCAATCGTCTATTCATGTTAATAATCACATCCAACACTTCATTTCATGCGGTGACCTTTTATCATAGAACCCCTAGCATGTGGAAGCAAGACACTCAGCACACTGAGTCCATACCAACCCTCCAAAGAGCATCCTACCCAGACCCACCCCTCTACCCTATCCCTGTAACCCTGCATTTCCCATGGCTAATCCGCCTAACCTGTAGATCTTTGGACTGTGGGAGGAAATCCACGCAGACATGGAGAGAACGTGCAAACTCCACACAGATAGTAACTTGAGGGTGGAATCAAACCCAGGTCCCTAGCACTGTGAGGCAGCAATGCTAACCACAAAGCCACTGTGGCACCTTACTGAATGACTTTTGAAAATGCATACACTATGCTTTGTTGTTGATTGTTACCTTGGTTGTTACTTGACAAGTCTCTTTTCTCATAAAATGATGTTGATTCTACTTCAGTGCGTTATGATTTAAATATCCTTCTACAGCCTCTTTAATAATATTAGACTAATTAACCTATAGTTTCCAGTTTCTTAGAGATAGCAAGGACTGCAGATGCTGGAGTCAGAGACAACACAGTGTGGAGCTAGAGGAACACAGGAGGCCAGGCAACATCAGAGGAGCAGGAAAGCTGACATTTTGGGTTGGGACCCTTTCTGCAGCTCCACACTGTGTTGCTTCCAGTTTCTTCCCTCCTTTCTTGAATAGAGGTGCTTTATTTGTGGTTATCCAAATTACTGGAACCTTTCCAAAATCTCAAATCTAGAAATTACAGGAACAAAAGTCCATAATCCCAAAAGCAATCTCAGCAAATCCAGTAGGGAGGGGGCGTGACATCATAACCTAGAGTTTGGGAACTGCTGTTCGAGAGCAACCTGATGAAAGGTGGATGATGGAGGCTAACGAGGTAGGATAAGAGACTGCTGATTCTGTAATTATGTTTGTGCAGCATTCCCACACATCTATCACTACATGCCACCCCCAACCCCATCAACTGCCTGTTGTTATTATAGCTTTACAATGGTTTTGGATAAATACAACTTTTTATTACTGTTACATAATCCTAAAATGTTGTCATTGTTTTATGTCTTAGTTAAGTATCTAAATCTGGTACATGTTTATAATTAGATATTCCAATATTCCAAAGTTCAGAAATGCCTTGGTTCCAAGCATTCTGGATTGAAGGGCTCATATCCCAGTCTCACCCTCTAAGGGACCAGCACTCACTTTTGCTATTCTTTTCCTCTTTAAAGAAAGCTTTGCATAATTATTCACAAACTTATAGAAGTTTTTACGTCTGGTTTTAGATCTCTTGCTAGTTTTCTCACATATTCTAATTTCTCTGACTTTTAATTTCTTTCGACGCCCCTTGCTGGTTTATAACTTTTTTTCCAATTTTCTGGCTTACCACTCAGCTTTGCAGCATTGTACACTTTGGAATTCAGATGCAAAAGAATCTGAGAACCTGTATTAGATGGAATGAGGTGCTTTCCTGTAATTCGACCGAGGGCAATTTCTACACACAAAGTCTAGAGCTATTCCCCACCAAGGAACAGGCAACCAAGTCACAGCTACTATAAGGATCTTCAGAGCTGCTCCATCATTAAATATGATACTGGCTGATCTTCAACATCATTTCCTGTTTTTTGCTTGATTCTCATGTTCTTTGAGTCTCTTGAGGGTCCAAAACAACAACATCTTTGAAAATACTCAATAACTTGGAATCCATAGCCCTCCAAGGCAGATAATTCCAAAGATCCAAGAGAAGAATTTCCCAGTAATCTAAAATGGTTAACTTCTCATCTTAAGATTGTGTCTGCAATTATGGCCTTTGAAAAGTGGGTTTATAGATTTCAAGGTGGCAAAGTGGACAGGACAAAAATTAGACATTGGTTCCACCAGGCCATCCTTTGCAAGCATTAAAATCATAATTCAACATCTAGGTGCATCTTCAAAATTCTTTCCTTCCTTACTTTTAAAGCTTTCATTCAAAATTAGGTGAGTTCAGTGTTAGATGTAATACCTCAATTTCCAATTAAAAAGTTAATTTAGCCCCAAATCAATATCTACAATAAAATTAAATGTTGAAGTACAAAGAGAATACAAATGTCATTTTCAAACCCAAAATAATACTATTTCATAGTCTCCAAAACTTACAGCATAAATTACTAGACTCCCAACATTGAAATCCTCTTCAGTGATTTCCAGTTTTAAAGAAAGCTTTGCATAATTATTCACAAATCTCAAGTCAGCAACTTTGAAATAACTGCATTTCAAAAGAATTTAAATGATATAAAAATCTTGTCATCACAGGTAA